GACCCGTCTGCCAAGTTGTACAAAACCTCGCGGTAAGTCATGGATGGGTCAGGCCGATTTGGTTCGTGGCTGGCAGGACGTGGTTCTCGTTGAAATGGCGCATTTTCGCATGACTTGTGCTTTTTTGCACCCATTCCAACCATTCGGCCAGCCTGTGGACCCTTCTTTTCGTCTCGTCCGCCACACGCCACGGGTTCAGTCTGTCACCGCGTCGCCTACACGGCTTGACCTTGTTTTCGCAACTCGGTCATGTTGGTAGGAAGACTTAGAAGAAGACACCTTGTCCGGAGTCCATTCTATGCATCATCATTTCCACAGTAGGTCCGTGGACGTGGTACATTCCCAGTCCAATGGTACCATTCTTAGCACCACACCACACCACACCACTACTCGTCAAAGAGACAAGTGAAGCCGATCATTTGACCAAACGTGTGCTAAACACTTGTGCTATCTCCCCTTCTGCTCTGGGCTATTCACATTTCCTAAATCATCCTATCACAATTGTAGTGTGATCCGTCGAGCGGCATCCATGGCAACTCTTCACACTCCACGTTGCGCTGTCACCCCCTTCACCCTTGTCCTGGGAATGTTGACCAGAGTCTGTCATATTGTTGCGTAGTCCTCCTTCCCTGAGTCCTATCAGAGTCTTCCTCTTGCCCTGTAAGATCCATCTACTCTCTCCCTGATTCACATATTTTACTCGAATCCTGCCACCCCATCTGTGTTGCTCTGCGTGTGTGTGATTAATTCGAGGCTAAAGCCTCTCAAATTCCAAGTCTATGATTCCCCATGCCCTAGTCTCTTGTGTGCCAACCCACAAATGTTGTGGGCTGTTGTTGAAGCACAACGTTTGTGGGTTGGCACACAAAACAAGGTCAAGCAACTTCGTAAAACAACGAAAGGAGACTGCGACCACACAAAAGGCCACACCATCTTGGTCTTAATACCTTCAATATTTCTATGTTTCCACGTTCACCTCTCAGCTCCGGCCGGTCTGGAGGTGTTTCTTACTGTTTTTCCTCTTCTTCCGTCTCCTCCCCTTTGCCTCAAGACTGGGCACCTTCAGGCCAGCTTGGTTTGGCTACATTTTTGCGTTTGGCCCAAGAGCTGCTCCAAAATGCATATTTAGCATCGATCTTCCGTTAGGCTTTGCTTTCGCTTTCTCCTCTTTTGTTAGCTCGGCCCGTTCCCCAATCTCGTACGTGGCCCCTTCCGTTTGGCGTTTGCTCTTTTGCCTCTGTCCATTTCTCGCGTTGTTTCACTTTCTTGCCTGTCGACATGGCTTGCTGTACCACACGGGGCTTGTATGCAGCACGAGCCACGCCTGCTTTTGTGCTCTCTCGCCTAGTCGCCGCCCTTCTCCGGCTCCATCCGGTACCATCTTGTCGGGGCCAGCTGGACGGGTTTGACTTAATTCACGATGCTTTTGTCACCTTTGTCGGACACGGCTTCCGGCAGCACCGGCCGCGACAGTCTCAGAATGCGCCCTCCTCACGGCCGACTAGCACTGACGTTGTTGTTGTTGTTTTGTTGTTTTAGTCGTATTTTGTCATCGTTCAAGTGGGATTTTCACTCGCCAACAGTGCTCGCTCCCTGCTCAGTCGTGCCTGTTGGTCGGTGTTGTGTAACTGCCGCCACAGGCTGGAGGCATTCACGCGTTGCGCGGCCAACTTGTCACCAACTTCCGGTTTGCCAAGTCGCCTCAACCGGCTCGTCTGCGAGGCTTCTCTCGCCTCGTCGTCTGCTGCTTGGCCTGCCCGATTTCGGTCTCGGTTTTGGTTTTGGTTTTGGTTTCGGTTTCGGTTACAGTTTCGGTCTCGGTCTCGGTCTCGGTTCCATTCTCAGTCTATTAGTTGTCT